GGTGCACTCGACGTCTCCGACTTCACGTTTGGAGTCTCCGTCCCAGCCATTGCTGCTCCGAGTGCCGCCGCAAATAAAGCTCAAACGTTTCCACGACCGACGTTCCTATGTATCCGGAAGCGAGCGTACACTACGACGTCCGACAACGAAGAGAGACTGGCGAGAGGAGCCGTGGTTGTTAAATATGGCAGTATCTCCTCTGTCGGTGCCAACGCGGTGCATTGTGGGAGATGCAACGAAAGGATTGGTTAAACGCGGGAAATAGCGCGCGATGATTGGTTGGAGGAAAGTTACAGCGCCACGTCGAGACTAGCACGAAGGGAGTGGCAGTTCAAATATGGCAGCTTCTTCTTCGCCGATCCTGATGCGATGCATTGTGGAAGATGCAACGAAGGGATTGGTTAGACGCCGGGAGTAGCGTGCGATGATTGGTAGAATGTTCGACTTTCAGATTTGCCAATCTCCACGATAGAAAATGTTGCTTGCTAGAGATTTTGTGCGGGGACTTTTCCTTTTTTTATTCAGATTTCTCCATAGTCACGTGATGTTCACGTAGTAGAAATATGTGATAAATAAATAAATATGTATAAGTCTTTTAAAAGGAGATAATTTTATGACATTTATTTTATTAAATGAGACATTTGTTTAATTCGATATTAAATTATCATTATTTAATATTTAAAACGTATGGTAATATTATGAGCTGTTATAAAAATGTGTTTATAATTATTTACTTGAAAAAACATTTAAAACTGTATTAACTGTATAATATTAGCGAAGAGTTATCAAATTTTGAAAAAATATATTTCTGATATTTTTATAATTTAGAATATTAAAGAAAATATTTAAGATGACAATCCCAATTATGGTCATGTATTTAAGATTAAAATCTTTTTATATTAAAACATTTATTTATTTATGCAAATTTATTAATTGAACGTTAAAAAATGTTATTTAATACTAATGTATGAAATATTAATGTATAAGCAGTAATATCATCTTTCAAAGAAAGATAATTAAATTTATAATTATAGATTTAAATTGATTGTAAATTGCGAAGAAGTTTTTTTTAATACATTTATGTATATATTTCAATTTCAGATCAGTACATATTTTTTTATTTTCATTCGTTTAATATTAAATTATATATATTAATAATATTCAAACTTACATTGTTTTATCTTATACGAGCATCTTATATAATAGTATATTTAATACAATTAATTAAAAACTTTTTATAATTTTAGGAAATTATTAAAAAATGAAGTTACTTCTCTCTTTTTTTCTTAAATATTAATGTGTAGCAAAGTAATTTTATTTTATAATAATTACAAAGATACTAAGAATATAATAAATTGTCTATAAATTTATCCAAATCTTTTTTTTATAATCTTTTTTTGTAATTAGTCCATCTATCCATAATTGGAACAGTCATTTTATTTATTTTACTTGATATTTTCTCTTGATCAATGATAAAAGTTTTTTTTGTTATAAGTATTTTTTTAAATCGATTGTAAAAAACAAAAAGCTAATAACTTAGAAGGATTTTAGTTACTATAAATATCAGATATGACTTAACATATATAAATTATAAAAATAATCAATTACGTGTATCAAATAAATAATTTTTAAACAAAATATGTATTATAAATATACTACTTAGTTTAAGTATTAGTATTGTAATACGCGAATTTTATTTATAAAAATAAGTGCAAATTAAAAAATTAAATAATTTTTAAAACGTCCAAAGAATTAAACTCATTTTTCACAAAAATATTTAAAAGAAAATAGTAGAATGTCTATAAAATCTTTTTTACTTTTATCAATGTTTTTTGATATGTACATCTTTAACCATAGAAGTAATTTCTATGTTAATATAAAAAATAATAAGAAATTACATGATACTTGTACTACAGAAGACATACATAAAAGTTAGTTCAATTTTGAGACTGCAGGAGACATACATAAAACTCAATTTAATTTTGAGAAGTTAAGAAACTTGAAACTAATTTACTGTGAATCACTTTAGGAACATACATATCGATCAACGTCGAATGTCGTATGGAGTTCAACGTGTGAACTTTGATAAGTATGTTGACAGGTAGTTCTTGAAGCTATCAGTCGACGGTAAGTGTGACCTAATGTTTCCGGCCTGTCGCCTAAATCAAGAAGCTCGGCAGTTTGACATGGATCGTGAACGGAAGCGCGATCGCAATCTGGATAGAAAAGCACGTGGGGATTTAGCGTTATAATAAATTCCCGAGCGGTTGTCTACGTATCGGGCATTCGTATCGCGACTCAAATGGCGAATTAGGGTCGTAGCTGGTGATCTAGAACAATCGGTAACGACGCTGCGGTCGGCAGTCGGTCGTTAAGCTCGATACGCTTTTGCGAGGATCGTGTAATTTTGCCGTGACACACGTAACAATCAGGACGACTCTCTAGAGAGAAGTAGATCGCGTCCCAGACATGTCCGCCATGATCTTAGAAATTATCCGTATATAACATCATACAGAGCGCAGTAAAATCTACTTTACAGCTAAAGTAGACTGGTACATAGGATGTACTTTCGGGAGGCCAGTAAATAACAGTGGAGACAGACGAGATCGATAATACCAACAATAAAATGCTATAATAATATTTTCTTATCTTAATTTTGGATTATAGCGCTGAATATTTTATGTAATCCGTAGTATTTCTAAAATTTTACAAAAACGAATTCTACAACGTTAAGTCATTTCTATTTATTTAATAAATTAGAAATGTTAAGCGTTATTATTAAATTAATTTTCGCGGATCAAGATTTAATTTTTGCACAGTCAATTGTAAACCGTATTGAACTTCTGTTCGTTAAACGATTTTTAAAGAGTCTTAGAACATTTTTTATCCACACGCTGATGCGAAAAAGTTAAGACTTCGAATAAAAAATTGGCTTCATTATGAGATGTAATTAAAAGATGATAATAGGAGAGCCAGAGAGTGAAAGGACAGAACGCGTGTTGAAGTTGGTTGCGACATATATATATATATATATATATATATATATATAGTGTCCCAGATTTATCAGGTAATATTTTGAAGACTTCCCGTTTCATTTTAAAAAAAGCTTTTTTCTCAAAATAATCATCGAAATGTCGATATTTTTAATTACAAACAGAATTAATAACCTCATTCATTGCGGATATAATTTAAATAAATGAAATCTTTATTCGCTCTTTTAATTTGAAATACTTTTTAATATTCTAAATCTTTAATTTAAAATTAACATTCTTTAATTTAAATTTAATTATATTCCTTTATTTCACTTTATTTCCTTTTCTCTTTAAAATAGCTATTAAGACATTAAAAATAGTAGATAATTAAGTATTTAGAATTTGTATTCAAAAGTTTTAATTTTATTTTATTTAACTACAATAGAATTTGCCTCTAAATTCCTCGTGGCGTTTCAAATTAATATAGAATAATGTATACACTCAACCAACTTTTCCGCGAATACAGTAAAAGAATTTAATAAAAACGTTGAAATCAGTGCTCATGAAATTCTCGCTATATCTCGCTTCAGAATTTAAGAAATTGACATCGGTGCGTCAATGAGTTTCGATTGCTGCTAAAACATCATATGGTAGCCTCGGGACATCCCGTGGAGAAGAAGCGGAGGAAGTAAGGCGGGACGGGCAGGAGCGTAAACAAGGAGAATGCATCGCGGGGGTGGTATAACGGGGTACGAGGGTGAGGGGTTGTACTCGTCGCTCATGCGCGCCTGGAACCCCGCCCTGTCGCTTCGGACCACGGCCTGTCCTATCGAGGACTCCTCGCCGAGGTGGTCGAATAGTCACGCTTTAACCCGCGATCCGCGAGGCGGACGCACTCGCCAGGAACGCGCTGGTGCTCGTACGCGAGAAAAGAAGGAGGAGGAGGAGGAAGAGGAGGCTCCGCGAACATCTGTCCCGGTCCGCGCCTTCGTCGTGACACGGTTCCCTCCTTGAGATCGCAGGATCAACGAGATCAACCGTGATCCCGATCGCGGCAGCCGGTGTGTATGTGTGTATGTGTCTTATATGTACCTACCAGGAAGGATCGACGGCGGCGGATCGATTGTCGGTACGCAACGGGGAGTCGCGTGTGCGAAAGGAATTTCGAGACCGCGGAGTGACCGGTGCCGATGCCAAATATTCGATGCGTGGCAACCAGTTGCGGATGTGAGCTGGTGTTAAGCGGAACCCAAGTCAAGTGTTGCAGCGAATCCTTCGGTCCTTCGGTGCAAGAGCCAAGGCAGGATCGGAGACCGCGTCGAGGCGTCATTAAGATTCACCAGCGGAGCCTCGAGTACGGATTTTAAATCACGGCGAATACCTCGCTCTTCACGGTGGATCGATCTGGAGCGCGTGGCGGATCATCAAATGTCGCGACCGCTGTTGATTGCTGTTGATACCTGGTGATTTGTAATGGTTAACGGCGGCTTACATCCGGACGAAGCGCGTCTTCATTAGCGAAGAAAAATGTTGTTGACAATTGTGACTTCCTCTAGCATAATTATAATCAGTCCTAAAGCTGGCGAGCAATCGGTACGTAGAGGATAGAAACAGTCGCGTCACGCCGACCTGCTTGTCATATTAGTTTAACATACGCGATATCGAATTCCTTTGACTCGATATCCGTCGTTCAAATACCACAACGTGCCGCCTTACTGATACAAAAAAAAAGAAGAAAAAAAAATAAGAAAAACAAGAAAACGAACGACAGGCCTAACTTGGGATCAACAGATAAAACGATTTCGAAAATAGTACGCGAGTTTTCTAATAGTACGCGTGAGGAATCACCAATCTTCTCGACGATTTTTCATATACGTGCGCGGGCTGTTACGCGCGCGCATTATCGAAATGCACGATTTCCTGCAAAACATGAGCTGAAAGGGCTGAAAGGTCGTGATCGATCGACTCAATTTGATAACCCAAAGGAATCTTAAAACGTGCAAGGTCATTATGTATAGCGATAAGGTAAGGACTTTCCTCGGCTAAAAAGTCAGAAAGGAAAGAGTCGCGAGAGGTGAGAAGCCGCGGTACGTGGCCTATCTATACGCGATGCCGGGATTTACAAGTATTACCTACTTGAGCGAGTATTTGAAGATGCAGACGCGGCGATAATCGAATTCATCGAATCCTGTTCGCGTAATGTCGAGCCAAGGCCATCGCGAGACGTACTTGGAGCTTTACGAAGGGCGCAGCATCGATTGCAAGATCTTACTTCGTGGCGTTCCTCGAGATCTCGGGAGAGACCCGCGACGATAGAGCGCTCGTCGACGAAACGATAACGCCGGGTTGCCCATTAAGAATTTAACGCAAGCCACATTTTCGACGCAAATTATATCCTAGTATTTTGTATCGAGGAACCCGTATCGTCCGATGCAATCCCCATTGGCCTACATGATAAAGTCATCCGACGACCGCCGTACGCCGCACTTCGAGACGCAAACGAGTTAGTAAACGGTCTCGCTCAATGCTTCCTAGCGATAGACGGAAACGCCATCGAGTTCACTTGGTCCCCGGTACCCTACCAGACGAGTCGTCCACGAGAAAGCCGATGATCGATGCGTGTCCTCTCGATAGTTGATCCCGGAGGATCAAGGACCTCCACCCCCGTGTCTGAACCGCATCTAAAGAAAAGCGAAGCGATGCTCCCGCCTGTAACTCAGCACGCTCGATGAATCGTCGCAGAATCGAGCATCGAGCAGCAGCCAGCACCACCCGAAGAGGAAGAAGCCGTAGGAGGAGCTTGGCCGCGTAGCGTCGTCCCGATCTCGCGAGAGAGAGCCGTCCCGGGTGATGCGCGGAAGCAGCTCCGAACTCCTGCTGGAGGCGAGCTGCAGCCAGTGTCAGAGCGAGCGGGGACACCAGCGTCGGGACAGCGGCGACGGGTACGACTTCCACGAGCGGGAGCTACGTCGTCGCAAGCTGTTGGAGCTCGGGTTCGGCGCGTCGCGGCGCCGACCGCCACGGCGTACCTGCCGTCAGCGGTTTAATTTCTACGCCACGTCAGCGCTGGCCTTCGTCGCTACCTCAGGCGGCGCGGCGCTCCTCTTCCTGGTGCCGCTCTACGTCGACCCGGCCATCAGCACCCTAGCGGCGGACTTCTCGCCGGAGCCGGTCATCTGCACGACCTCGAGGCGCGAGGACCTCGCCGGCCTCTTCAATTGCACATGGAGCTCGTGTCGCGAGGGGTGCACCAGTGACGTGTACAAGTGCACCCACATATACGTCACGTACACACCGTGGAGTAACGCCAGTATGAAGAACGACACCGGCGGCAGGAACAACACCACCGCGAACATCACAACCACTACTCTGAGCACCGTCACTGCCGGTAAGATCGTTAAGTCGAGAAAGTCCTTAGCGTTTTTTTTTTTTTTTCTATTTTCTTTTGTATCCTTTGTGATGTTAATTTAGCTGAAAATCATAGTCGGCGGTAAAGCAAATTGGACCTTAAATAAATTTGATTGACATTTAGTATGCCTGAAGAACGATGTGACGCTGTAGAGGAAGGGGCAGGAGAGATTTAAAGCACAAAAATAGAAAATTTGAAATATTGTAATACGATTTTGATCGTTTCGAAATATGAAATTGTTGTACATGCGAGATGGTCCATGTACATGATTTGTGTCACCAAACTGGACGTAAAATTCAAGACATAATGGACGGAATCCGTAACATTCGAAAATATAATGGTTATCGCTACCTCTTTCTCTACCGCTATTTGACTATAAAATAGAATGTATCGCCTGGGAAATCGAAGAGAAATTGGAAATACATTCCGATTGAGGGTAGATCAACGTTGCGGATTGCATGCGTCCCCGGCGAGCATAAAAATTCGAATCTCCCCGATGCTAATCTCTGCTGTAAAAATATCTCTTTGTCGAACAGTGTCCTCTCCGGGGGACGTCGAGGCTGTGCTGCTGGTGAACATCAAGGGCTGCGGATACCCGCCGGTAGTCGACTGCGTGAACTTCACCCGCGAGTTGGGTTACGAGGGCGCGAGGTTTCCCTGCCATTACAGCCGGGTGAACGGTAGTATAGTGATGGCGAACTATAATCGCGAGGCACAGGTCGCTACCATCATGCACTTCTTCGCGGCGCCTTTCGTAGTGACTCTCGCGACCAGCGTCGCGCTGTGTGTGATGCACTGTGACTGCAGGTGCACGCCGCCACCGCGACATCCGCCGCGCGGCATGAGAAGATCCAGGGGCAACGACCTCAGGTAATCAGTTTCGCCAAAGTACAAAGCCAGAAACGCCACACGTACATATGGACCTGAACAATTTCTTATTTTTTTTTTTCCCCCTTTCGACGGACGGGGATTGTCATTATTTAGCTTAGTGATCAGTCCATGATACACACACACGTTTTTTTGTGCGGAATGAGTTCAAGTATTTTACCTTTGTTAGTTGAATGGAACGTATCTAGACTAGAGTAGAGTAGAGTAGAGTTGCGACACGAAATTAAAAAAGTGCTTTGTTATGTAAAGAATTGTTGTTGAGACGCGCCGAGACAAACGCAGCGACAAATATCCGCGCGCTAATATCGATTAAATTAACTAACGATACGAACTCATGATAATGACAAGTCACACACGAAGCTGGTAAATTAATGTTAATATCGCAATTATTATAATATTACAGCTGCTGCATGAGTATAAAAAATCGATAACGGGTTAGAAGCGTGCCAGAAGTCGTCCGATTTAGAAGGTGTATTTGACGAGGCAAATAAACTTTCTAAACCATACGTAAGACAAAGACGACTTAACAATGATGTTACTACCACCGTACATACCATCGTCATGAAACGATACTCTTTCGGCTGCAAATACTGCCTTAGAAGGTATCTCAAAGATCATTTTTTTCAAGGATTGATTGGTGTAATCTTATCGATCTTCGTGTTCCGTTGTGCATAAATATTTCTTTTTATGTAATCGCGTTGTCAAACAAAACAATCTCAGCGTTTCTTCATTCTATATATTTAATAAATCAAGTCAAGTAACTTTTTTTATTAATGTCACAATAATAATTATTAAAAATTATTATGGAAATATAATCGTCGGTTTCATTATCATTATTATTGTTTTGATTAAAGTGTACTTGTTACTAATTTTCAAAATCAGATTCCAATTAAAACGTAGAAGAGTTCATTTTTCGAAAATTAAATTACTCGGTTGTCATGAAATGTAAAAGCAAAATGAAAACAGATTAGTATCAATGACTTTTTACTTATGTAATAGCAAGAAGAATCGTACATTGAGTGAACTTTTAAATCCACTTTGACGCTTCCATGCTTTCGCAATATCACCGTTCAATTTAGATATTTACATTGGCTTACGTTGCTGACTCCTTCCGAGAAGGCTTGTTACTGCATGCAATTCATCCGCTGTAAAGTAATAAATATAAACCAACGTTTCTTCCGATGCTTCGCCATGATTTACATGCAAAACGCTTTGCCGCAAATATTAGTGCTTCTTGATACACGACGGAACACGGAGTGCTGCCTTAGGAATAGAAATACACTTTTATCATATTATTACAGAAAAGAGCGAATCGCAGAAACGGAAATCGGAGAGAGAGAGATATCGATTCATCATCTCTCTCTCGTAATCTCCACTAATTAACTCCAAAAGGCGCATTCATCTCATTAACGAAACGAGTGCGCCACCGAAAGCCGTGACTGCGCTCTCCGTGCAACGCAATGAACATGTAAAAAGAGATCTCTAATTATCGATGCCGTAAGTAATTCCGTGCATTCGGAGTAATCGACAGGCTCTCACGGACGTTGATATGCTGCGTGAATGAACGATAGAGCAGCCTCGCGTAACACTCTCGCGCAATTCATCATTCTTCCAAATGCTCTTTTTTTCCTCCTTCTTCTCTTAATTTTTCTTCTTGATTGAGTCGTTGAGCGAAACGTTGAGTCATATACATTACGTAAGTCACATTTTTCTCATTAAGGTAAGAGGTAGTTTTGCAAAACTACCTCCTATAAAATCCTGTTAATATATTATAGCAATTTTTCTAGATCAATAGAATTACCTAACGTATACTCGAACGGAATATTTTAACAAAAACCACTCAAAATAATAGTAACGTATAACTTACGTAATTATTGACTTGCCGTAATTCTTGACCGTTATTTCGCTCAACCGCTGAACTCTTTCTTCTCTCCGCATGCCTCTCCCGCACAAATCAACGTTGCGTCGAAAGAAAATAAAAGGGACCAGATATTGTTGAATCAAGAATCTCACGTCAAGAAGCTATAATAATCAGACAGCAAGGATAGAAAGAATTACAAGTGTGTTGTTATTTATACTCTCGTCTTTTTATACTCTCTAAACCCTCTAAAATGCCTCCTCGCACACTTCCGTCGCAAGAATCGCTGGGAATGGACCTTGTCGAGTTTCGCGATACCGCTCTACGAGGGTGAGATATTAATCCACGTCCAGACGGCAGGTGCAAGAGAGAGCTAGATGCACGATTGGAATCGAAGGCTGGCGGTTCTGCTGTTTTTTAAGCATCGCGGTTCAACGTGACGCGCGAGCCTCGAGGGCTCATTTCCTCTCCGAGTGCTACCTTGTTATCTTTCCACTTCCGACCGTTTGTCATTTCCACGGCGATGATATTAGACGGAAGACTGGAAGATTGGGGATGGCGAGGATGACAGCTAGCAAATGGCAGCCTGGGCTGTCATACATCAGATTTGGATCAACCGGCGACCCTGGCGATGTGATAGTCTTTCTCTTTCTTCTCTCCTTTCTCTTTCTCTCTTTCTTTGACTCGCCTCTTTTTACTCGTCTCTTCTTTTTCACTTTTCTTGCGGAGGTGCTTTGCCGCCGGACGTATCGCGTGCGTTTCCACCGCAAACGGTATTTCCGTTGTCAGGGTTTTTCGCTTTTATCTCGCCACGAAAATTGTTACACGAGGCCACGGGAATTGTTACACAAATCATTGTAAACCGTAATAATGTAATTATGCTTGTCCGACTCTGGGTTTCGGGATTATATATCTCGGTAGTCGCGTTGTATCTGAATGAAACCAACGTGTATCATTTCCCGTTTAATGTTTTCTATTTATTTCTGTTTATCTTGTCGATGATTTTCAACAAAATTGTCGCCGTTCATTTCCTATTCTAAGTAGCTTCCTATTCCTAAGTACGAGTAATGATAAGTAAGGCCACCATGGAATTTATGAAGATTATAGAGCTAGAAAAAAAAAAGAAAATACGAAATAAAATATTGTGAGAAACAGTGAAGTCGTATGGTATTCCTCATTCCACGGGATTTATGGGATCAATTTAAAGTGTATCTTATTAAAGCAACGATTTTGCATGCTGTTTGATCTCCGTTCAACGATATTCTCGAAATTTGTCGTGCGCGATAGAGAAAAGACGCGACACATGATACTGCTGTCGTGTCACTGTTACTGAAGATCATGTTTCGTATCAAATGAAAGTAAAGATGAAGTACGGCAAATTCCGTTATCGTATCCTTTTTCCTTAGAATTTCTATGGAACGGACAGATAAGCCGGTCGTGCTATGAAATACGAGAAATTCTTTTCCAACACGAAAAATTTACCCCGGCGAGATTACGTGTGCTCTCATCATGCTAACGATTATGATTCACTTTTCACTCAAGCCTTACGGTATATAAATTATGCCAGATAAATGGACTTCTAATCGCGATAAGAAACACTTCCATTTCTCGTAAAAAGGAATTACTTCCGCAGGAAGAGGAAGAGAGAAAGAGAGAGAATAGAGCTAGCTTTCTCGCAACTGCTTAAAGTGAATCTAACAAAATGATGAATATACTTGATGAACTTGGTAATCTGTTTTTCTGAGAATTAGGGAGAATTGAATTTGATCCTCGGAAAAAAACGGGAAGTATAGGCGTGCTCGTTAACTTACGATAACATCGAGATGACATCGTACATAAGCGGATGAGTAGGGTAAAAAAAGAAATAGAAAAAAAATTCTCTCGAACTTTTAATTGAAACAGCGCTCTGAAAGAGCCATGGCTTCATGTCAACACGTGAATAAAAGAAAGTCTTGGAAACTCGTTTTACGGCATGGCCTGAAGTCTCCACGGCTATTAGCGCGAAAATGAATGAGATTTTAAACTAGCACATCGGAGATAGCCTTTTCGAACATACTAAGGAGTTAGTCGAGAAGAATGTCGCGCAAAAGTTACCGTCATTTGTATCTTTCGTTATTCAATGACATTCATGGCTGATCTCCTCCCGCAGTTGGAGCTTGGCCAGAAACTTACAAAAAGATGTACTTCTGCTAGTGGGTTAATTTATAAGAAATTTCCACTCATCTAACGCTTCTTAAAAGCAGATAAAGAAATTTTTATTAAGATCGCTACTTAAAATTGTTATTTTTTTATTTTTAGACAAAATAAATCATCTAAAAAAATGTCCGTAATAACGCGGTAATGTTTCATTAAATAAAAGAAAAGAAACTTCTAAGGCAGATCTTGAAGAGAAAAGAAACCGATTATTTTTACGCATTTTAAATTATACCCCGCTTACATCGCTAAGCTCTTAATACAACGCGATATATACGTTTTACACGGAAAATCTAAATAATAATACTTGACAAAATGATGTATCAAAAACGCGTTGTTTTATATCCCTCTTGTTCCATGATATTTATAATTGGACTTACATCCATGTCAAGTGGATACCAATTAGTTTGAAAAGTTGCAGTTGTAGCCTTATTCTAATTATTCCTATAATGACATATTCGAGGGTATGGGAAATGTCGGAATTTCCAATTATGCACAAATTGTATGGCTTCCAACCGCGGTGGTTAATTTGACATTTGAGCAATGCTCCCCCGTGAACTTCGGGCGCACGAAGGTACCTTGGCTGCCTCATTTCGCAAATCGCTAGCGACGGAGCGAACCGCCTGCAAAAAAATTGACAGTGATCGAAAGAAAGATAGATAAATAGGATAGATCGCTCACTGTCTCTCGCACATGCGACGCAGTTGCCTGCAATTGCATTTGTCCTGCATTTAGCGAAAAACGCACATGCCGTTACAATTTGATTAGCGTTACAATTTGATTAAATATTTATTTAATTTAAAGCCCGGATACGGGATTGTTTACGATCGCCATGCACACATCGTTATCTATATCGCGTACGTTACGAACACTAGCATATCTCACGGATGACTCATAATCGACAATAACATCAAAAATATATTTTTATTCGCGCAAAACGAAAAGAGAAAGTATAATTTTTCTTTCACAAACCCACGACGAACGATTTAATTTAGTTATAATAATTTGAAATAAGAGAGAACGCGCTTTTAACGTTCTCTCGTGCAAGTGTAAAAGCATTTTTTGCAATCGATTGATTTCTTCGTACGCGATAAATCAACGATTACCTTTCTGTTTCTGCAATATAACCGATGTGAAAGTTATATTTTTCTCTGACAAGTGGTTTCTGTCGTCTCACTTTGTCATAATAATTGCTCCGCGCTACATAATTCCTCGGGCAATTAATGGCACCGCGATCGGTTGTAAACACGTATGTCACGTAACTCACATGTAAAATCGAACATGAGGATACGCACGATTTTACAGCCCGTGTACGATCAGACGGAGCTTAAGGGCGCCTGACTTTACCGAGGTGCACGCAAAATACAGTTGCAATACCGGTGCTTAATTGCTCCGTGTTGCACACTGCCTCCACCTCCAAACGCGGAGGCGTTTGCGGTAACGGCGATACATCGAAGGAAGATTAACTCCATGGAGCTTAACGTGTAACGGGTTTAACCCGATCCGGAGGAGGATAACGGAGGGAAACAAAAAAGGATATTAATTGTGAGAAACCGACATTTCTCCTACCGTTCGAGAAATCTCCTTCAAAATCTGTTGTATTGTTCCTTAAAAAAGTAAAGTTGAATTATTTAGCCGAATAATAATTAATCAGTATTTGCATGTCTCGAGTCAGTTTTAATTATAAAATGAGAATATATGTCAAAATGATCATATCTTCTCTGACACTAAAGGAAGACGTAAAAGTTTTAAATAATAAATGTTGAGATTTTACGTACAATACACCGAGAAGAAGATACTTAAGAATTTATTTATGGGGAAGGTTTAAGAGTAAAATAAAAAATACTTCATTCATATATAATAAATGAAACATTTTACAATTAGTAAGAAGAATTAAATGTATTTCACAGAGACATACATTTCGTCATCACCATCAAATTTTTTTATTAACGAAAAAATATCGAAGAAAGTATTACAAATTAACATTTGCTTCTGAATATTTCAATTTTTTTTCTCAATGCTTGCAAAATAAATTTAGAATTATGCATAAGTTTTGCGTTTACATCATCGGAATGCAATAGAAAATGTTCCATCAGTAGACATCAATTTTCCGACTAATGTCTATTTTGTTACGATGTCGCAACGGAATATTCCGTATTTTTACTTTCCGCCGCATTGTTGTCTGTACAAATATTTTGTTCATCAACCGAGTTACGCGCAAGTGCCTTTCCACCAGGGAAGAACTTTCTGAGGAATTGCACGCTCGATTACTGTAACGGTGTCTCCGTGCTGTTCGCCGTCTTCACAATGGACCCATTCGGGATCCTCGCGTTATTGACTATTTATTCAATCCTGTGCTTATGCGCGGCGCGTTCGCTTATTCTCATCTCGCGGAATTACGGTTTCGATCAAACTAAATCAGCTCACGACGCGGCTCCGAGGTCGCGCGTCTCACACACACACACACACACACACACACACACACACACAGCCTACGTTTCTTTACATACGCGCTCACGGCACACGATCTTACGATATCATACACACCTACTACATAGTGGCAGGCGCCACTGCTCGGTACGATCGGTGTGGAAGTGGTTATCTAGCTCGCCATTAGGCACGATTGTAGTTTAATTGCTTTTGACGTACGTTCCGTACGGTGGTGGAGTCATACTTCAGTCCTTTTAAAAGTAGAGTTTCAAATTTCTTCGTATAAATGAACGGAATTAACGGAGGGATTTTATGGGATTTTTATGGGATTGTTTTAATTATGATTAAAAACATTGATCGGAGAGATGAGAGTTGAAAGGAGATAAAAGATTAACGTTGCGAGCCGAAGAGCAAAATCGAAAATATTTTTACGACCGCTGTGCGATCGTGATCACTTTTCACAAGTTTCGGTAATTAAAGTAGAGACAAATCGCATTTTACGCACCAACGGGGAGAGAATCGGGGAAAGTTCCATAAGAATTTTATTCGTATCGCTACCGTTGTAACGAAAGAACTAAAGTTAGGGAGCAAAGTTGAGGTGATAGATACTTTTAGATAATGCCTCTTAAGAAATTTTGGGAATTCATCGGCTCTGAAATATTATCTATTGAAATTTCCACACCGAAATTTCTTACCTCTATAGATTATTCGAAACGGTGCCAACGTTGTTGTTGTTGTTTACTCCTCCGCGACGTCGCGCTGAAAGTTTTCTGCCGTCTGCCGCACAATGAGGAAAAGTCGCTATTCTAGAAACAATATGAAGAGTAGAGTGCAGATCACGATGCATCTTTGTGGAGTGCATCTCGTGTAAATGAGCTTGACTTTGAGGAGAATTTAATTATTTGCACTTTGTTGTTGTTGCGTATAATGCCTCCATAGCTTGCCCGAGATGAAGATTAATTAAAAATGCGCGCGCTATGTTTATGACAGGACACAATAACCGCAATTGACCGTGCACTTCAACTACTGACAATGCCCTAAAATCGATATTAATTTAACTAGGTGACGAAATTATAATGCATATAATAAGTATTGACAGCGTGTTCTGTAAATATCGCTATCTTCATTGTAAACTGCAGTTATTCGCTGGCGCTGTTGACGTTAATCACTACCGATTCACAACATTTCTATGAAGAGCTAACATACTAAAGAGCTCTGATTTCAATCGAATTGCTTCAATCCCATTACATTCCTCCCACCTGCATTGATAGCTTTTGTCCTATATTTTATAGATGTATAAGTGCCACGATAAAAAGTTCTACATATGTATACCACTATAAATACATAACTTTCGAAACGCGTTCGATAATTCAAACGTGAAATTTTAAAGAAACCTTGCGAATTGCGCTGTAGTATTTTCAAGTATTTTCGAGATCTTGTGACTTCGATATTTCTGTAAATTGTAATATTTACAACGTAACTCTCCGATAGTATTTAATCTGTGTCGGTAATCGACAACTCTGTCGAGCCGCGGTAAAACAATCCTGAATTATCCGCGTTTCTACAATGGGACACGATGATTGACGCCTTCAGTATTTATTCAAGCACGTTAGACAGGTTATATCGGGTTTGCCTGCGAGTCGATAAGTCTTTGTCCATTGGTCGAACGTAAAAACGATCCTAATACGTTTAGCACGTCCCTTCAGATAAGTTATGCACGAAGTGTAGAGCGTTGAATCGAGTTCCCAAGCGGTCCGGGGGAACAGATGGCGAAACAGCGTTCATCGATCGTGTCCCTTGTCGTCTTGCTGCCAGTGAAGAGTAGTCACGATATGGCGAAAAATATTTCAAATATGAGATTCATGCATTCACCTGGAGGCAATTTTTTTCAACATTTCGTCAACAGTGCCAACGAACTATTTTGATTTAATAATTTATTTTCTTCGTACGCTTGTCACGGAATTCATATTTTAATTTCTACGTTTCCTACTATCCTACGTTCTAAATAAAATAATTCCATCACATTACGATAAATTATTAATAATATAATGGAATGTATGTGTTATATTTTAATATTAAGCATATTATATGGGAATTAAATATACAAGAATATTTACTAAAAAAAGTGATGTTGAAATTAAACTTTGAAATTAAATTTAAGAGTTAAAATAAACCGGCCCATTATTATAAACCATTATTATAAAGATTTTCTAGAGACAAATGTTTCTTTGTTTTTAA